AGGCCCACCTGAGAGATTTTCTTGAGCAATGAAGGGGAAGGGCCTGTTATTTGGTTTGTTGTTTTAGTCACAAAAAAACCCCCAAAAAACCAATGGGTACTTTTATTTAAAATCTGAACTACCGTCAGATTGAATGAAGCTAATATCTTGGGCTAAAAGGATTGTAGTTAAATTTACAAAACCACATCACTGTGTTTTCTTTCCTACTTTACATTAAGTTCTCAGTAATTGGACACTCCCATGTGAAGTATGTGGCATCTGCAGATGTAGATATTAACCTATAAGTTGCTCATCTTTGCCTCTGAGGAGAGTGTCGTAAATACCAAGTGATATGAGATGCTGAGAGCAATACACTGTTATTTTAATTATTTTATCTGAAGCAGAGACAACATCCCATTTTTCAAACTCAGGGTTCATTCTATGTCAATATTTTTACACTAGATGGAAAAGCCTCCCTGGAAGCTGGGAGACCAGGATTCATAACCATACTTGAGTCAAGGATGTTGATATGATGACATCCAAATTTGCCTCTAAACCTGATCTTTCTTTTTTTTCCCCCCTCTGGAGATTAGTTCTATCCCTACATGTTTGATTGATTTCTCCAGCTGGAAATTTATTGTAAGATAGGGACTAATTAATCATGGCTCTTCCAGGCCATTTTAAAGGAATGCTGCATATGTGATGTATTTCATTTCTGTAATCGTTCTCACTTTATAAGGAAATGAGGATATATAACCGGTTGTGGTAGCTCTTTCTGTGGAAAAAAATTTCCTAGTTGCACGTCAGCTAGCTACCGTAACCCTTCTCTTTGCCTGAGAAAGTCTGCCCTCTTTTGGGTAAAGTTAGAACTGGCTAAATTGTCAGGACTGCAATGCAAGTGCTTGAGATTGTTCTACTTTGCCTGCAGAAGCTGTTGGATTTCCCTGGATAGCTTTGACGTACCACCATACTGGTATCAAATTCTATGTAGCTGTGGATTTTCTATTCCAGTAATAATCGAAATTTTCAGTAGGGTATGAAATATTTGCATTAAGGTTTTAAATATATGCAAATTGTACTGTGTGTTTTCGGGGGGGGTGGGGTGGGGTGTATATACCTGTATCTCATACTTTAAAAAAAAAAAGATTATGGAAATGTGGGATTTCCTTATTTCTAACAATTTTATATTCCTGTGAAATTGTCTGTCCAGAACTCATTTCTTTTTCTATCAAGTCATAATTTTTCTTGTTAAATCCAGATTGTTTTTAGTGACCTCCTTCTTTTTTGTTTTTTAACTCTTTCATTAACCAACAGAATACCAGAGCAACAAAAGCTTGGTACTTCAGCAACACAAATTGAAAAAGAAATTTAAAAATCCAATAGGGTTGGAAGGCTGGTGGCAAACCAAATGCCTAGAGCTTAAAAAAGGGCAATGAAAGAAGAAAGTCAGTCCTAGGTTCAGTTCATGAAAGTACATACTGCAACCTGTAGCCATCAGAATGACATTTGAAAACCTACATTAAATAGATTGATTGCAATTCACTCCTGAAGGAGCAGGTGTTCAGATCCCATCAAAAAGGCCAAGGATTGGGCCTGAAGTCTATTGCTACCTGCTCAGAACCTGGCAGCGAAACACTTGTGGTTCTTTAGGGTCACATATATATATGAGTTCAAATAAAACAGACAGACTGTCTCTGTGCTTAACCAGGCTAGCAGAAAAAAAAAAAAAAAAGTGGGTTTTATACTTTAAGGTAGCACAGTATTAACTCCTGTCAGTGTTTAGGGCCTAGTGAACTGGAATGCTTGTGTTATTTTAGTAAATTTGAATGTGACTGTTTATAATGCTGTAACGTTTTAAAGACTTGGTCATGGAACAAGATCATGCTGTGCTAAGAGCTTGCACAGCGTGTCTTTACTCCAAAGAACATTCAGTCTAGGCATAAGACAAGATAAATTGATGCATATAGGCAGCATACTGATATAATGCTACAGTACTGGTCAGCAGGACAGAAAGCAAAATTTCTGACCATGTCCAGATAGGTTATTGTATACAACCTGACATAATGTTTTTACTTATAAATGTCATGTGTATGTGACGTTAGTGAAATACTTGAGTTGTATTGACAATTCAAACTAAACACAGAAAATGTAGTCACCACCTTGCTCAATCATGTGTACTTTATTGCCTTGTTAGATAAAGCTGCCCCTTGGCAGCCTTTCCCCATCATCTTTGTTTTATTAATGAGTAGTTTTGCCTTGCATTTTGAAAAGGCCATTCCTCTTCTGGCAGATCATGCTTTCTGGGGAGGCTAATGCTGGTTGTCTATGAGATAAGTGATGACTTTCAACATGGGAAAGATGTGTAAGTAATTTATGAATTAAAGCCTTTTATAGGCTATTGAACAAACACATCCAACTACAATAGAATGAGATTATCCCATTACATATTCTTAAAAGACATTTTTTTTTTTCTACTTGCATTTATGGAAGTAGTCCAGCCCAGGGTTTCTTTCACCACAAAATAGTGTCAAAAAGGAAATTCTGTTAGGTTATTTCTGGTCTTCTCTTCTGTTTAACCCCTTTAGGATTTAGAACTTCTGCTTTGTTTTGACAGTCAACATGCTGGTGAAGTGAAAAAAAATTTTGGTGTTCCACCAAAGCTATCCAATGTAATACCTCTGTAGTTGTGAGACACATCACTGATACGTCTAAGTTATTCATCTGGTTCTGAGGATAAGATTAAAGACTATGTGGAATATAGTTCCCTTTGACATTACTGGAGAAACACCTATTAACTTCAGTGGGCTCAAGTCATTGCTTTGCTTTAGAACTACATTTATGTTAATAAAATTTGAATATTTTCAAAGGAAAAAATGACTCGAAGTAAGAAAACAAATATATGATTTTACTGCAAACTTGCTAATGTTTGATTTTTATGTCCTTTAATACAATTAGTGTGTTAAGCGTTGTCTGGCAGAACAAGTGGAAGGAATTATCAATATTTTTAAGATTTTTTGCTTTGATCCCTCTCTGAGGTTAAAAATTTGAACTATATTTTGTGAAGTTCTCATTTTTACTATCAAAAAGAAATTTAAACACCAGCCTGATAAATAAGATTTTTGAGCTTATTTTCATGCCATACAACCACAAGGCGTCACTTGTCTTCTTAGCAGATCTGGGGTGGCATTTCCCTTGTCTTCCAGTGCACCTACCAGTCTTACATAGTCCAATTGTTGAGCTCTGAACACCACAGTGCTGCTCTTCTGGGATGCCTGTGCGAAAGCTAGGGAAATAATAGACTGAGATCTTTATTGCTGGTTCCCATTTCTCAATAGTGGAATGGACTGAATCACAGGATCTGTTGGAAGATTAATATTTTGATTCAGACTTCATTAGCCTCTCCAAGATGCTATTGTATGTCAAATGAATTTTAGTGGAAAACAGGCCTTTTCTCAGTTCTCTGTTTATTCCTTAGTTTGATAAATTTCTCTTCCCACTGTTTTCAACATTGATATGTCTTCATTTTACCATTGTGGTGTTTAATGTTTTCCCTTGTTCTCTTCCACCTCAGAACTCCAGATTTCTCTCTTTTTCACACCATTTGTTTTCACATTGCCTTTTCCTTTTGACATACTAAATTATTGTAAATCTCTGTCAAAGTTGAGACACACAATGTCTGTCTGCTACAGAACTACTTTCCTTTGCTGCCGAGGCATCTCATTGAACTGAGGTGGTGGTTCTTATCCTGTGTTGTGTCATTTCACCTTTTACTACTTCTGTCTCTGCAAAACATTCCTATTCCTGTTGGAGTTCATCTTTCTTTACTCTAGTGTAATCGTTCTAGGACCATTATCAAACCTGTGTCTTCCTTTCCTCATCTCTCCAAGAAGTCCATATCAGCTTTTTTCTTTCTCCTTCATTTAGTTGTGGCCACTGTGACCCCCTATCGTTGCCTTAGCTAATTTACCACATTCTCTGTTAGAGTATCTGAAGGCCTCTGCAAAGCATGGAAGAGTAGTTAAAAGTTGCTGTAGTGGATAATAGCAAACTTGGAGCAGGAAAAGTGTTGGTTAGAGTCTGTCGGAGGTGTGAGAAAAATAGAGCAAGTAAGGGTTGAGATTACTCAGTATGTGTGGAAAACTCTGTTCTTGAATTGCATGATTTACCAGTGCACACTCCACAAGGTGCAGTGCACAGTAGATGACAACTTCTTTTGCAAGATCATTCTTGTAGTAGGAGTTACTGTTTCCATAAAAGACACTTTCAAATGGGAATATCCCAAAGCCTAACCACTTAAGTATATTGTGTTCTTGTGGATATTGAGTTCTGGGCATTTCAACCCCTTTGGAAAAGCAAAGTATATTTGTCTGTATGTGATAAGGAAGTACAACTGACAGACCTCGATCTTTTTCTTTTGTCGTGGCCAATACGAAGCCTTCACAAATTAGGCAGTTGCCCGGGACATAGCAAAACAGTCCTGAAGGTGTCTTGAGGTGTCCTCAGGGCTTCTTCCTTTCTAGCTGGAACAGACTCTCTTTCTATGCCACTGCTCAGAGAGCTCTGCAGTGCCAACAGGGCAGAAGCTCTCTCTGGTTCCCACTGAAAAAAATACAGAAAGTGTCCAGCATAACGCAGAGGAAGAGGCTGATTCCCTGTTGCTGTCGGTAAAGGAGTATAAAGAAGGCGACACAGTTTCCCCACCAACTCCCCCCTTTCCTTCCCTTCCCTTCCCTCCTCTATCCCATTAGCCCACATTCTCTTCCTGTCCAGTCCTCCAGTGCTGCCTAATCTCATTTACAGGGGCTGCTGCCAGATCTGCTGGCAGCTGCAGTTTCTTGGCCGCTGTTATCGGTGAGCGAACCGAGAGCGCCGAGGAGGAGGAGGAGGAGGAGGAGGAGGAGGAGGAGGAGGAGGAGGAGGAGAAGGGCTGCTGCTGCTGTGTGGCGGAGCGGCGGCAGCGGCAGCACCTTTGACGTGCCCGTCCCCCACGTGACGGCCGCTCCATTGCAGGGAGGGCGCTGAGCCGGCGGCGCTCCGGCAGCGCACGGGAGAGCCGCAGCCTCGGCGGCGGCGGCAGCGGCGGCAGCAGCGCCTCCGCCCGCAGTGCGTGTGTGTGTGCGTGTGTGTGATGAGCGATCGCCGCGTCCCTCCGCCCGCCGCCGGCTGACACCCACCGCGCGGGGCGCGCCAGGAGCAGCAGGAGGAGGAGGCAGGAGCCGCGGCCACCGCACAGTGACCTTGGCCCAGGAGGTAAACGAGCGGGCGGGCTCCGCGCCCCTCCGCGCCCCCCGCCCCGCGCCGCCCGACGGGGGCCGGGGCCCCGCTCCTGCCGCCCATCCCGGACGGCTCCCGCCGCCGCCGCCGCTGGCGCTGTCCGCGGTGCTGGAGCTGCGGGCTCCGCGCCGGGCTCCGCGCAGGGCTGCCCGGGGGAGAGCCGGCGCTCCCGGCCCTCGGCCGCCGGGAGCCGCGCACCCACGGCCCGAGGTGCGGGGGCAGCGCGGGCTGGCCAGCGAACGGGGGGCAGTGGAGCCCGGACGCGAGAGGTCTGGGGGGCAGGGGAGGGCTGTGGAGGTGAGTGCTTGGAGCGGGGCTCAGCGGCTCTCCGGGCTCTCCGCAACCGCCGGTGTGGTCTGTAGATGGAGCACATTCTCACACCTGCGTGCAAAGCCGGAGCTACGGCATGATCCCAGCTCTTGCCTAGTGCAGCTCCCGTGTGACCTGGGGGAGGGCGGGGAGGAGACGCGGCTGGCGGGGAGCCGGTGCTGTTCGGTGAAGTACGATTAAAGTAGTGAAAGCAACCCAAAGGTGTTCTGGCTTGTTTCTTCCTTTTCCCTCGTCACCCACTTCCCTGCCCCGATACTGAGTGGATATTGAGTACGAGCGTACGTGTACGAGCACAGATGTGACGGTGAATTACAGAGAAGTTCAAAGCGTCTGTTTTGCTTTTTGTGAATGTTACAAAAGTTGCTACGGCCCGAGGCTTGAGCAGAGGACACTGCTGAATATGCGTCATGGCCTGAGCTAATCCTTCCAAAACTGGAAGGTGCGGAGCGTCCCTTGGTGGAGCCCGTGCAGGGGAGGAAGGAGCGTTTTGTCAGGAAGCGTCTGCGTGATGTGGTGGTTAGCGGTGTGTCAGGGAGCTATTCAGAGTGACAATTCATTAACGACTAAATTAGATTAACGTATTACATCCATTATTTACAGGAAAAAGAGAGTAATGTCAGTAAATGGTGAATTAGCAGCTTTGCTCCAATGTAAATATCCGTTGGTGTAAGAGCATATATTGATTTTGATAACGGTGGGAGAAAGTCAGGCCCATCACTCATCAGGGAAACAAGGAGACTTGAGGCGATTCCTTACTGAAACCACTTCTACCTTTTACAGTGCAACATCCAAAAGCGGATCAAATTTGTGGGACATGGCACAAGGAAATAATTATGGGCAAAGCAGCAATGGGGTGGCTGATGAATCCCCAAACATGCTGGTGTACAGAAAGGTAAGCCTTTGTGTTTTACAGAAACTAAGAAAGGTAAAGTCGTGGACTCTTTTGCTTTGCAAGTGAGGTCATTATTTCTGCTGTTTCTCTCCAGTTTCATGAATAATGACTGTATCTCTTGTTTGAAATGGTGAAATGCACACGTGTCAACTTTACATCATGTTCAGAAACAGCTGGTTTTCAGTTTGAAATACTTGATGTATTTTAGTCACTTTCTGCATTGATACATATGATACATGGGGGTGGTCATGTGCCAGACTAGAACATGTTTTGAGGTCAAGTGTTCACTTGCAAAGTCTATTTGTAAAATGAAATAATATGTATTAAAACTAAATATTACCTGTACAGTACAATATTTCTCTTGTGCAGGGAAGTCAGAACCATTACCTTATTTCATATGAGGGCAAAAACCAATTAAAGATATCACTTATCCTCAATTGCCACAACTTAAAAAAATCCAAACACATACAGTCTAGAAATTTTCACTGGGGAGAATTCTAATGTAGTTATTCTAATAACATCAATATACAAATTTCCAGGTATTAAACTCCAGCAGGGGGACTTATTTAGACATTGTACTTTCATTTTAGTGAGAGTAAATTCTTGGGGATTTTGAGATGTATTTTTACATTTTTTTTAAAAAAGCATTAATTGCATTTATCAAAAAAGAGTAACAAATACATTCTAATAATAGTGGAGAAAAATAATTTTGCTGTTGCAAACTGAAATATGTAATTATGCAACTATTTGTTTATTCTTAGAACACAATGTTTTCTAACTTGTTTGTGGTTGTTTTTATCAGGTGGAAAAAATCAATACTTTTACTTTGTTAGAGGCATTGACTTTTCCCTTTAGAAGTTAACTGTAATAGAAAGCATCTGATGTACTCAGTTTAGTCTTTGAGGTGAACTGAGGTATCATCAGTAACTGTGGTAAGTGTTCTTTTCCCTGAAACTAAAAGAGTCTCGAATTGAAGTCTGATGCATGGGTTTTTTCTCTTCCTATTTTCAAATACATTGCTTTTTCAGTCAATTTGTTGTAACTGTTATTTTGTAAAATTAGGCACATTTAATATAAGTGAATGAATTTATGAACCTAACTGTGGTTATCCTTCTATCTAAGAATGCACATCTAGAAAAATGCAGGATTACTTTGCCATTAGCACCACAATTGTGTTTCAAAATGCAATAGTATACATGAATTTATACATGAAATTATGCTACATTTATTAAAAGCAATATACCAAAGCTTTTATTGTTCCTTATAGGGGTTTGATCTTTCTAAACAGAATCTCCCCACATTTAAGATTTACTTCCATGCTGAGGAAAATGTCTTTTCTCAGCTAATTTAGTACACAGAGGGGCAACACAGAAAAATTTTTTTCTCTTCTCCTGTAGAGAGTTTCTTCAAGGAACTGTGACACATGGTATTTAGTATGACCTCATGCCAAAATTTAACATTGCTTTTGAGCAGCCTCCAGATGGAAATGGAACTGCTGAGGCAAGTGATGAGAATCCTGGTGATGCAGGGAAGATGTGAAAATGGGAAGAGGGGACACACTACTTCAGGTGTCTGCTTAGCAAATCAAAGCATCAAACACCTTATCAGTTCTCTACAGATCACTGGTAAAGTTCCAGTGTAGCAGAGGGCCTTCCCTTGTTGTCACTAAAGTGAAAATGGTGCACTGAGTATTAAACTTTTGAAAAATGCTGACCGTCTAGAACATTACCTGCCCTTTTTGGTTTTGTGTGTCTACTTATTTTTGTAGCATGGTGAATCAAAGAGTCATTTAAGATTGTGCACACTGTATTAGAGTACAGGGAGAAAGCTAAGTAGCCCTTCCTTTGCAGTGTTCAAGGAACAGGCAACAAAATAATAGAAAACTTTTTAAAAAGTCACCTGCCTTTTCCTGAAATATGATATTGCTGTAAGCAGACATGTTCTTAATTCCGGGTCTAGAATATAAGAGAAGGATAGTTAGGAGGAAATTATTTCACTTTAGAATATATAATCTCTGAATATAAATCCTTTATAGGAACAACTAAATCACAGGATTCCTTGTAATACATTTGAAAACACAATACTTCTCTGTCTGTCATTGTGTCGGGAATGAAAGCATTGTGCAGAGTGAACAAAGAACTACATCTGACAGCTTCATGAAGGACTCTCTTTTTTGGCCAACTGGAAAAGTATTAATAGTTGCTAGAAGAAAAATCTAAATGTGCTATTGGGTGGCTTCAGTAAGAAAGTGAATTTGTAGTCTTGTATTTTGAATAAGGTTGCTGAAATCCACAAATGTGGAAAAGGATTTTTCTAGTACTTTATACAACATCAACAGATAGAATAGCACACATTTTGTAATATGTGTACCTGCAAGGAATAGATGGGACTTCTCTTACTACCTATGTTAATGAAGAGGTGAAATTTAGCCATGCTGAGTGAAGACTGTTGCTTATGCTATAAACCACAGTGTGGTAATTCTTCTAGGCTGTCTAACATCCAAGCACAATCTGAACTAAGTATATTCTAAACTATATGGATTTACAGCTCTGCATTGTCTAAATCCTGATTCTGTTAGAAGAATTTTATAGAAAATTCTATACTGAAAGAAGTGCTAGTGTTTACAAATTCAGTATTTAAGACTGAATTGTTATAGAGTCATTACTGCACTTAATTAAATTTCAAACTCTTGACAAAAGAGGCTTTTTAAAAATGTATTTGGTTTGTGATTAGTTACTTATTTGAAGAATTGTAGAAAGGCAGATTATCAAATCGTAATCTTGAGTAATACAGGATGCAGATAGCCTGTTATTCTCATAGTAGCTTTTATTCCTAACTAAAGAAGAATTTCCTTACATTTTACTTTCAAATATGAATTTAAAAGAAAAAATCAACATAGGATAATTAAAAATCCAATATATACATACCTTAGAATTACTTATTTGAATCTGTGATGGAAAAGACAGTAGCAGAGATAAATAGTTCCCTATATCATTTTTACACTGCCTTTTAAGATGCTCGTGTCAGTGTTTTTATGTCTTGGGGAATAATTTTTATTTTAATAGAATGTCAGCTGCTTTATTCTTTTTGTCTATCAGCCTAATTATAAAGTAATGACATGTGACACATCATTGGCACTGACACACCTTAGAAAAAGTCCTGAATTTTTCTTCTAGTAGCCTGAGGCAAATATGAAAAATGTAAAACCCCTTCTTTCACTTCCACTCCAACAGAGTCCATTCCAGTCAGCAATTAAAAGAGATAAGAGAGTAGAATCTACAGTATTTTAACATTAAAAAATGCTCATGAAGAAATCTTAGATTTTGGCAACCCTAATTAGGTGCTGCAAACTAGCTCCTTAAGAAAGAACTTGAGATATAGTAGAAAGCTAATACTGCAATGCTTTTCTAAGTTTCAGAACCTGACCTGCCTTTTTTGTTTGTTTGCTTGTTTGTTTGGTTTGTTTTGTTTAATCTCAACACAAATAATTGAAAGAATAAGAGTTGTCTGTGAGGAACTTCTCTTTGAGACCTACTGCTGGTCTTGCTAAACCTTTGTTTATCTTTCTGGTCTGTACTTTCTTAGTCAAACACGCTGCAAGGATTAGAAATTCTGGTTTGTAAGTTTAATGGTTATTGTGTTGCTGTCTGAACTAGCTTCATTTAAGAACTGACAGCTTTATTTTGTAGCAATAAGATTAGCCCTCTCTGAAAAGTAATATTCTTGTGACTGATACTTTGTTTCTCTACCTTCCTCACTGCCCCAAGTGTTAAAATAGCTTTTGCCAAAACTGATTAGAAGCACTAACAGTTGGGGCTTTCAATGTTCCAATAAAGATAATTAGGTGTTTGTTCTGTTTCTGTGACAATCGTGGAAAGTTGTATATGCCAGTACTCATGTATAGCAAGGCCTGCATTTGTAATCTTAAACTCCTTAGTTTGTTACGATCTGGAAAGCAGTGCTGTGGAAAGGAACCTGTGGGTCCTGGTTGATGGCAAGTTGAATATGAGTCAGCAGTGCCCTGGCAGCCAGGAGGGCCAGCTGTGTCCTGGGGGTCATCAGGCATTGCCAGCCGGTCAAGGAAGGTGATTGTCCCACCCTGCTCTGCACTGGGGTGGTCTCACCTTGAATATTGTGTGCAGTTTTGGGCACCACAATATAAGAAAGATATTAAGCTGTTAGAAAGTGTCCAAAGGAGGGCAATGAAGATGGCGAGGCCTTGAGGGGAAGCTGTATGCTGAGCGGCTGAGGTCGCTTGGTCTGTTCAGCCTGGAGAAGAGGAGACTGAGGGGAGACATCATTGACAGAACGCAAGGGAATGGCCTGAAGTTGTGTCAGGGGAGGTTTAGGTTGGCTTTCAGATGATACTCTCAGGCACACCATGCAAGTCTTGGGGATGATCCTGTGCCGGGCCAGGAGTTGGACTCGATGATCCTTGTGGGTCCCTTCCACAGCATATTCTGTGATTCTGTGATAGAAGCCATGCCTCCAAAGTGTGGTACTTAGTAAATGTTGTAAAGGAGCAATTGCTATGCAGTGACAACATCTGAGGAAATAGTGACCACCATCTTCTAATTACCATTCTCTTCTCCTCTGCTTGCACCTGAGATGACTTCCAGAGTAGTCTGCAGAGAATACTGTGTTCTCATGTGGCCTTTATCAACTGTTCCCTTAGAAATGATTGTTGGAAGACAATGGAATCACTGAGAACTGTATTCCAGAGCCTGTGAGACTAAGGAAGAACATTTTAGATAGATTTTTCTAAGTGCTGTCATTGACTTTGAGAAGGGAAGAATTGTTCTGATGCTATGCATTTTTGAATATACCATCACAACCTATAGAGGCATCCTGATCCCAGGGTTTGTTTGTTACTACACTGGAAATGTCAGAGGTAGTCTAAGGTACTTGAGATAAGTGTTATGTGGTTTGTGTTTTTTTCTTTCTTTCCTAGTATGGTTTGTTTATTTATTTATTTTTACAATTTTATGATAAATTACAAT